GGTCCGAGGCCCACCTGTCGCCTCCGGCACCGGATGCTGTTTCCCTGCACCCGCCCAGCCCCCTCTCGGTCTCCCTCGCCCTGACCACTGTCTCTAGGGCAGACCCTTCTGCCCCGACTTCATGGGCTCAGAGTGCGTCGTCGCTTCAGAAACCACCATTTGGACCTAACTTTCACCTTGAACCTTCTGTCCTCTGTCCCACTCAATGGACTGTCAGCTTCTGAGTGCGGGGACGTGGTTCTGGCCCCGCGGTGTCCCCAGCACGGGAGCAGGCCGGGCCCCTGCCTAGGGCTGGCGAACCATTTCCGGAATAACTGAGTGAGGGGGTGAAAGGCTGGCCCTCCCCTCCCGTCCCCCTGCTTCTCCAGAGGCAGGCAGCCCCTCGACCCCACCCAGCACCTTCCCACCGCAGGCCTGGCGCAGGCCCCTCTGCCTTCTCGCTGCCCTCCTGGCCCTGCCGCCCACGCCTGCCCACAGCAGAAGCACTGGGCCTCTGTGCCCCGCCTGGGGAGCAGAGAGGAGGCGGGGGAGGTCGGTCCATGGCTGCAGGAGGGGATGGCAGCGCACAGAGGGCACCACAGGCCAGACCCTCCTTGCCATCCCGCATGCCATGCCTCTCCTCGCCAGCGGCAGGGCCACGCCAGGGAAGGCTCCAGGGGGAGGCCCCCCACCCGCCTGGGCCCTTTCTCGCCCCCGGGCTGACCGGGGCTGGGACAGAGCCTACCCGTCCGGGGACCTCCCCTCCTCTGTCCTTTCCCGTCTCCCCCACTCACTCTGTTCTGCAGCGACAGTGTATGACCTCAAGCTCATGTCTCCGTCACACGCAGGCACTGGGCCTGCACCCCTCCGCCGCCCCGCCCGCCTGGTCCCCACACTCACTGTTATACGCAGAGTCCAGAGCTGCGCCCAGGCCTCGGACTCCAGAGGTTTTTCCACAACAACGACACCACCTCCCTCCATCTCATCGAGAGCCTGAGAGCCTACGGAGCGCATGGAGGTTGGGAGGAGCCGCATCCCAGCCCCCACCCAACGCCCACTCCTCGCTGGGAGAGCCCTGGGGGCAGGGGTGCTGGAGAAGGACAGGGATGGGAGCCCCGCTGCCCTTTGCTGGGACCGTGTGGGGCGCAGGGACTTGCGGAGCCGGCCTGTGCTGGGGCCTCCGGGAACAGGGTCTCTCCTTTCCCTCCTCCTCCTCCTCCCCCCACACTCAGAGGAGCGGGCCTTGCGGCTCTGGCCACATCACCTCCCGCTGAAGCCCAGACTCCGCCCCCAGGACCCCAGGACCCCAGGACCCCAGGACCTAGAGCGTGTGAGCCCCTTCCGGCCGTCCGGGGAGGGAGCGGGTGCAGTAGCTCATACTCACCCCTCCGGGCAGGGTCACCAGAAGGAGGAGAATTTTTTGCCAAAAGCAGAGACGGCTGTGAGGTGGAAAGGAGAGAGGCATCAGGCTCCCTCCTGGGCGGGGTCAGAGGGCACCGGGAAGCCAGTGCAGCCCGAGCCCCCAGCTGGCCCAGCCCAGGGGCAGAGCGGAGGCAGCCCCCAGACCCAGCTCCGTCTGCAGGGCCCAGGACAGCGCCCACCGGCACCTGGCATGGGCAGTGCTCACCTTCTGTCAGTTTGCCCGCCTGCTCTGCGGCCCCCCCGGGGAGGATCTTGGAGAACACGCTGTCCCCTTCGGCCCCTGGCTGGCCAGCGGGAGCCCCCGGGGTGCCTCCAGGCCTGGCTCCAGCTTTCATGCCTGGGGGGAGCCGGGGAGAAACCACCGTCATGCCAAGCTCGACCTGGCTCCTGGAGCTGAGGGGGACGGCGTGAGGGTGTTGAACACAAGTGCTCCGGATGGCGGGGAGGACAGAGGAAGAAAGAGGAAGAACAGGGAGAAGAGGGTGTGAAGAAGCGGGAAAAGGATGTTGAAGAAGGTCAAGAAGGAAAAAGGAGGGAAAGACCAGGAGGACAGGAGTCAGGAGGGAGGAGGAGGAGGGAGAGGAGGAAGTCAAGGTCCTGCTTTGGGCTCCCGTCCCTCCCTGGTCCCTGCCGAGAGCGCCTGGGCCCCCAGGCTCCAGTGCGGACCCCGTGCTCATCCTAAGAGGCTCGTCCTCTGCCGGGGAGGCCACAGCCCAGGCCCCTCCTCAGGAGCAGTGGGGCCTGCGGTGCCGGGAGCGAGGGTGGTGGGTGCAGGGGCAGCCAGGCTCTCTGCGGCACAGCGAGGGCACAGTGGGCAGGCTCACCTGCAGGTCCAGGTCCTGGCGGTGGCTGAGCCTGAGGGGGCCTCCCCTGCTGGGCCGCTTTGGCTGCCCCTTTAGAGGCGGTGGTCTGCTCTGTCCGCGGCTGCAACACAGAACCCAGAGCTGAGGCGCTGCCCGTGGAC